TTGGGATTAGTGGCAAAAAGGGGTGTGGGTCTCTTGTGTATCAAGATAATAGAAGGAAACAAAAGTTTGAACTTGCAAAATTGAAGGCAAGGTGGTGTAGTGGAGTAGTGGAATGAAGCACCATCACACATGCATGGTTAGAGCATCTAGTTACGGATTGATAACTGTCTAGAGTTAATCATGCTTTCCCTTCCTTCGAGTTCCGTTAAATGGTACTATACTCGCCTGACAAGGCAGAAGTTCTGATTTGGGTACCGGCCGGCCTCCGTGAGGAGAGGTGGGTGATGATGATCCATGAAGATTATAACTGAATTACCCTATAATCTCATCTACTAAGCTGATTATGTTTTTAGGATCATTCATAAAAACAACTTCCAAGAAAGGGGTTTCTTCTAGTTCTAGTAAATCTACTGAACTGCTTGAAAAGGTGAGAATGATCTTCTTATTCCCCTTTTTTAATAGTATTTCTACTGGCTGATTGTCCGAAACTGATATAGTTCCGAATTCTATATCGACATCACGCCTCTGATATCGCCATCTCTGCACGAGATGAGGACGCTCGAGGAAAGAGAAATAGCATGACTAAGTGATGAAGGGAAAAATGTGGAAAAAGTGGGAGAGCCCCGAATTGCAAAAGATATCTCTAAACTCAGTTGTTCTCTGCGGTTTTTCACCCGAATACACAGTTCTCGAAAGCAATAAGCCATGCTATCCAGAGTTGTACTTGAGAATCTTTGAAAGTGTAATTTAATCTTGTAACAAACATCCTTGAGATTTTTTGCCTGTAGAGAAAGTGAATAGATCAACCGAATGGCTGAACATTTGAGCAACTATAAGTCCTGACTAACATCGAACAGGAATAAGTTTCTTCAATACTCAATTCGAGATCGACTAACTGTTCTCGAGTGCTGAAGCCAGAGCAAATACTGAATTAAGCCTTTTTATAGCTTAGGAAAAGAAGAAAGACATTCTCTGCAACACCAAGCACTGCTCTGATCCCATTACTGCATCATTTTATAACACAGGAGCTGGTCCATTTAAAGATTTTACCGGCTTTGACATCGTGGTCGTTTCGAAAGAGGCCACCTGTCAGTGTGTATAGAAAAGGGGAGCAGGAATACTCAGAAGAATAGAACGGGGTAGTTCCAGAGAAAGTCACAATCAGTGCAGTAGACATTACACTCGGGCATGTAGGAGAAGCCATCACTCAAGTGCACGAGCCATTTAACATTCATGTGAGTAGCAAGACTTGAGGCTAATGTCCTCGAAGGAAAGCATCTTTCAGGGTTTTATCGTCGTTGGGCCGAATAGCATGCATGCCTCCAAGCAGAAAAAGAAACACCAGAATCCAAGTCCTGGTGAAGAAGAGACGAAGTGCTTAGCATTGGTCGACCTCGTTTTCGGGATGCGCCCCGTATTCGATTCAGGATTGTAACGGCGGTTTGAAGCTTTGTAGCCTATACAATTAAAGAAAGTCGGTGCGAAGGTGAGAGTTTTTAGTCTCCCAGACAAGTTCGACAAGTCGACCAGCAACCGACACTAGACCAACTAACCAACACATCTTGTTAAAGGCACGGTTCACGATAAAAATGGTTATTGAGATCTTCCCCTAGGAATACTCAGTGGCCCCCAAGGGTAATAGAAAAAACCCTCTTGCGAACAAAAAATCGACGGTTAGGACATAATGACGCCCTGTTCCTGGCTCGCGCGGCCTTCCCGCCCCTCGATCGATGTCCCGTCAGACGAGTGTCGAGAGACGACACAGATTGCAAATTTTCACTTTAGGACCCACACACAACCAGCTGATCGCCGAGTAATGAGGCGATGATTCCCTCCTATTCATTTGTTCTGTTATTCTTTTTGCAGTTGCGATACCTATTTTGGGAGTGCTGTTACTAAGGTTTTTTTGTTAACTTTGCTTTCAGTAAATGAATTTTGCCCACCCCCCGGGCCCCCTCCCGTAGTCAGGTATTCGCACCAGGACCCACATACATGCACTAACACACATCGTATAGCTCGTCCAAACGCCCCACTCTTCTTCATTTTTCTGGTCTCACTCTCAACCAGCCCCCTTTTCAACGATTTTTCGATGTCTCTTTTCACGTTAGAAACACCGATACACACAGTTTCTTCGCCTTCGTCGCACTATTTTCCATCTTATCTTCCATTTTTTTGTCATAATCTGGATCACCCAAAATTACCGTGAACTATGCCTCTAAGGTCACATTTACATCCAAAATACCACTACGACTCTGATTTGAAGTCGGATGAAGGACAAATCCCATAAAACGAGACTGATGAATGCCGGAATTTTTATCCTTCATTTGAAATGTCGTATTGAATATAGAATTGTTCTTCGGTGTTCAAACGTATCCCCATCATTACAGTCCGACTACCACCGTGTTAGAGGACGTAGTCAGTGAACTATTCAAAAGCCATAAATATGGAAATAGCAGGTTTTATCGTGCTCTTTTGTTGATGGAGTTCTCTGAGAAGGCTACTTGCCGAATTATCTGTTCGTGAAATAGACACGCCCATTTTTCGAGTCCGAAGTGTTTTTTCTCGAGAAGATGGAGAGTTTCCGAGAATCACAGAACGAAAAGGAACAAATCACGATTTTACTTTGCCTTTTCTTTGACGAAAGTTGGTCGAAAATGGTCTAAAACGCTGTCACATTTTATAAGTTGTTATAGAGTTAATCAAAATATCCCCTCAAAGCCCCTTAAAAAATTATAAATTCTGAAAATTCTTATCAAGGAAGATGGCGCAGCAGGTGAATGCATCTTCATTCTTCACCTGAAGAAATGATTCTTGGAGAAAGTCGGTTGAAAGGGCATAGAAATCGGTTTTCAAATTGAATAGTTGGGCGTTTTGCCCACGATGCGGTTAATGGTGGCAAAACAGTACTTGATCCAGTATATTCATTCCGTGGGAATGGATGAGAATGGTAGCAAACAGCGAGCTGTGTGAGCAAGTAAAGCTCAATGAGTCGGAGCACCTCCATAAGGCGATGGACGGAGGTGGTGTAGTGGCAAGTGGCGCACTATCTCACAGACACGGTCAGGGGTTCACATCCCGGATCGATATCCGCGTAGACCAACCAAACCAAACCTTCGGGATCGGATAATTGGTACCAGACTCGACTGTGAATATGAAAGCAGTTAATTGTGCATCGGCTGGTCACCGCAATTCAGTGTATAGGCCACATACACGTTCAGTACGCCTGTACGGTTCTGAATGGAAGTCGAGTGCGTGGGCGCTCCCTCAGACGTGATTGATCAACGCCAAAAAATATTATCCCTTATCCTCTGAGGCGATAATTCAGGTCAAGGCAAAAACTATCTTTGACACTGAAGACTGTGAACATTTGAGGGCGTGGCGTAATTTTCGATCGCAGCATAAAACGTTTCATCTAAAAAATCAAAGGCCCTGTAAGTCAAAAAAAAAACAGGGCAGACTGAGTTTACAAGCAAAAAAGTGCGACATGCCAAGATAAAAAATATAAAATGGGTTTCAAAGCTAAAAGGCAAGAAAATCCGCCTACTTTGAGGCTTTTAAAAAGTAAAGGAGTGGAGGTTTTACGAGATCACTGTGACGGCAAAGGCATGTAATGGGTGTTTGGACAAGATTTAACTTGCTCCCATCGCTCAAAGAGATGACTACTTCAAGCTGAAATTGTCCGAAACTGCCTTTCCCTGTCGCCATGGGTCATGACAAGTTGTTTGAAATTTCTACATGGGAGGTTCTTGAGATAGTGCAGCCTCTACAAAGCCATTGAAACTCGTCGACTAGGGGTGTGGCATTCCCACGATACAATCACTGGTTTCTTATTGTCCCCTATCCAGGACGTTTTTGGGCGTTATGACGACAGGTATGGTTTAAGGGGGAGCCCCGAATTCATACTATAGGGCAATCTCAGAAATCATTTTTTATCGTGAGCTGTGCCTTTAATGATATGCTGGAAGGCAAAAAGAGCAATAACTCAAAGCGGATGATGAATGATGTTTAAACTGCCAAATTTTTCGACTTTGTCGTTTCGGTGCGGTCGTATATCATCTTACCACAAAACGCGATCACTAAGTCGCAGCCCAACGTGTCGATGTGAAAACTGCGATTCGACTCTTCAAAAGTGGATACCGAAATCGCGCAGTCACACAGTCGAAAAGCGTATCTATTTTTGCACAACATTTTCAAAATAATAATTAAATATCGGGTTTGGAAAGTTTTTGCCGATTATTTGGTGAAATCCAGACTTTTTTGGAATGTTCTTGAAATTTTTGTATAGCTGCCACTTAAAACGATAAAGGATAAAGTCGCGGGGCGATGAACAATGCGCCTGAAGGATGCGCCCACTCATTCGACTTCTATTTAGAATCGTAGTGGCGTATTGAATGCGTGTGTAGCCTGTACAAGGACCTGCGCTGGTCAGCCGATGTACAAGTCAGGTGCTTTTATCCTCACAGACGAGCCTCTTAGCGAATCAGTAATCCCGGAGGGATGGGAGGCTTGGTTGGCCTAGGGGGATACCGATCCGGTATTCGAATCCGTGACCATGTTTTTGGGGAAGGGTGCCCCTTGTCACTACACCACCTCCGGCCTAGTCACGGGTCTGAATCCACCCACTCGGTGTTCAACTTCACCGAAAAATAACTTAAGAAGTTGCCTTTGTAGCCTCTTCTAAGCGATTCGGCATATGCCATGCACGGAAATAAAAGTCGAAAGCAAGAAATTTCGAGGTGAACCTTCCGATTGATATCATGAAATTCCCGATGTGTCCCTTCATAGTCTTTTAATTAAAAAAACACAGAAGAAACCCGGACAAGCGTGAAACCTTGTGCAGATACTTTCCAAACACCATAATGACTCAGCTATAAGCTATTCCTACATACATGTGTATATGACACTGACATTGAGCGGAGAGTTTTCAGGATGATTACACGCTTCTTTTAGAAGGATTTATTCAGATATGGTATCATAAACTGATTCTCTTCGACTTCTCATCAGCGTAGGAAGCGTGTCAGCACATCATGACCGAGTCCTGCAACGGCTATTCCATAGCTAGAATTTAGAATTGGATGAAAGCTAATCAGGCAGATTACAAGTACATAGATGACTAATCTCGACCCATGCTCAAGCATGCTAAAATATACAAATTATATTGGTCAACTGAAAAGGGAAATAAAAAGGAAAAGAGGAAGAAAATGTAAAAGAAAGAGAACTTCCTACATTGTTCACCTTGTGATTGGTGCAGTCCCCACAAAGCCGCTGAAACTCGTCCACCAGGGGTGTGGTATTCACACGATACAATCTCTGGTTCCTTATTGTGCCCTATCCGGGACGTTTTCGCCCTTATAACGAGTAGAATGGTATAAGGTGGAGCTTCGAATTCATGCTATGGGGAAATCTCAAAGACCACTTTTATCGTGAAGTGCGCCTTTAAATTGAAATCCTTCCGGGGTAGGTTTAATTGAGTTGGGATAACCTTCTTTAGTAAAAAAAAAANAAAAAAAAACCAGAAAAATTTTAATGATGAAGTATAAAATAGCTCTTCCGAAGAGGATCTATAAAAACAAATCCCATGTATTAACATGATGCATGTGGGATCAAATTGAAATTTAAAAAGGATTAAATAAAAGAAAACTATCCTAAGAAAGAAATTCCTACAAGGGAAGTCCTACCTTCAACATATCTTCTTCTTCGAATTGGTGGGGGCATTCCGAACCCACCACCCATGCCACCGAAACCACCATCAAATCCTCCCATCGGGCCCATTCCGCCCATTCCGCCCATAGCCGGGCCCATTCCGCCCATGCCCATGTCTCCCATAGGGCCGCCTGAAAATTCGAGATAGTTATGTGCTGACAAAAGTACTGTGAGCGGGAGGACACGTTTCTTTAGACTACCAGAATTCATTTGCAAAACCATTTGATTTGATCATATTATTAAAATAAAGCGAAGAAAACGAATAAACAGCATTTTTCAAAACAACCCTTACCAAATTCTGGCCCAAACTGTCCCAAGGCTACACAAAACAGTGCAGCGAAAATAAAGAGCACTGATGCGTTCATGGATGGACTGGTGGCGCTTGGCGACTGTTATGAAGTGACAAGAGATTTGCCTGCCTTAAATACCTTTACCATTTAGTTCTTGCACCTAAGACCCCGTTTTCGCTTTATATGGATGATTGATTGGAAAAAATGCCAATGGTCGAAGATTCCTGTGAAGGATTGATGATCAGGAACAAACTCACTGAACAAAGTAGGCAAACAGTGATTCAGTAGATGATCGTTCGCGGTCATATCAGGACGGCACGTTCATCACGACATGGCCTGTTTAGTACAGCCCTGTACTGGAGGGAACCATATTGACGTATTTATAGTTTTGTATATCATACGTACCTCGCTTCCGCCATT